AAAGACTTTCCAAAGATAAGCCCACTCCAGCCTCACTAATTATTCAGAATACAAAATGATGGAACAGTCAGTTGATTAATGACATGGTTGACGAACAGAATTTTGTTTGGGGACAGTTACGATGATTGATTTATTATTTAAGTAATTTCTCATGCAAAAATGCCAAATATTCGCTTCGTCCAGATTATATTATAAATATTAGGATCAGCTGCTTTTCTATATTTTAAATTATATGTAAAACAGAATATCCTTGGGGTTTGGACTATATTTCAGAAAAAGATATTTCAAGACTTCACTTTGGCCTCTAAAACATTTTAAACCTCTTTGGCAAGTGTGTGCAGCAGCTTGTTCAGAGATTTAGACATTTCATGAGTTTTAATGGTGACCGTAACTGTAAAGGCTCTGTTGTGACTCAAAGTAGTAGCGTCTCCCCTGCCTCTCACAGGGCCAGAAGCCTATAGTATAGGTTCACATTTATTCAGGTCTTAAAACCACGCCCATATGTACACGTTAACCTACAGTTCTGTGGTGCTGATACAACAGAAGAACATGCTGACAGGCATTATATCCAAATACATTTAAATTTGCAATAACGATCCAGATCATTTTCAGACTAACAGAAATGCTCGCATCCTACTAAATTACAGCGTTAGCATGGCAGTTGAATGAAGATCTTTCAGCAGTGAATGCTGTAACAGTTATAGACTATTCTGGAGGATAACACAAAGGCAACAATGGTGCCTTGTGTTTTTGGGTGTGGCCCATCTTCTCAGCTCATCTTTGGGAAGCAGCAGAAGGGAGGATCAAGGATTTTGTCTGTCTGCTGTCCCTAATTTGAATTTGCACATAATGTCTGCCAACTCAGTGATCAGCTGACTCCGCTGATCAAACAATAAAACATTTGGTATGAACGCTTTGCTTGCACTCGTGCCTCTCTGGATATTATTCAGGACTATTTTATTTTGCCACCAAGCCTGTATATTTAAAATTATAAATCATTTGAGATTTGACAGTGGCTTAGATTATATGGAGGTTTCATTTGATTTCTCATTTGCTTAATTAGAAATTGTTTAGCCCTTATTTAATAATGACTTTTCTAAAAGTAAGAGCTAAAAAACCGACCTCATACAAGTACCTTATCAAGCATAACTTAATTTAGCCCCAATCAGACTGAAACAAAACATCTATGCTACATATTAGGATAGTCATGCTTAGAAAGATTTTTGCTTTGTAATTTGGTTTCAGATGATTTCTCTGAACAGATGGGGTGTTTATATTAAAACTGATCATGGAATGAGAGCTGTTAACCGGTTACTTTAACAGTTTACACCTCCAGAGAAGATTACAGCTAAAGTGTGCGCTCGTATTATTTGAAAATATTCCCCCTACACTGTAGTGTTTCTGAGAGTGGAGATGGGGGAGTAAGGCTGATAAAAGGTGACGTGTAAGGGTCTTTTAATGTCTGTGCTTCATGCTCCAGCAACCTGGCACACCTGTGAGCATAATGTAGAGCAAGAGTGGAGTCAAATTAATACCAGCCAAATGCTCATATCAAGACCCATGTTTTTAAGATAAGACCCTATTTTGACAGCTATTTTAACAGCCGAACAGTCACTGCACTCAACTTTTTTGAATCTCCCAGGTGAGTGCACCCGTTGATGAAAAAGTAATTTTCCAGCAATATCCCGTCTTTGGAGTTTCTCTATTGGTTCTACTTCATTTTACTTATACTGAAGTTAAAATGGAGAAATACACAGAATAAGATGGGCAAATAACAGTAGAATCGCCACACTATAATTCAGTCTAATCCAATAATACCAACAAGGTATAACCCCAAGAATGAGCAACATTAAAAATTTAAATATTAATAAAGATAATATATGTTGTAGAACTACTGCACTGGATTACCTTTGTTCAGGCAAAGGGATTTTAAAGTTGCTAATGATTGCTACAGTGTGTCCTTTCAGTACATTATTTATTGTTCTGCTCCTGCAGAGGTTTAATTTGTGGTAGTCTGGAAATTATTTTTAGTTTTTTGTGTGTGTTTGCTTCCAAGTCTTTATCTCACCTATAAAGGCTGGCCGTGGATTAGTTGAGCTTCCTGTTCATGCAGACACATCACCTAACCACTGGTGATGTATGCTACAAGTGAAGACTTTTTGTGTTACAGCAAGGCAAGTGGGGAATATTGCACTAGAAAAGATCATTTGTGTGTATATTTTATATATATAAATAAAATGAGATGGATATTTTTTGCCAAGCAGATCCTGCTTTGTTTGCACTGATAGTTCCCATTAAGCACAGCTATTGTAGATAAAAGGAAAAGTGGTTGCTTGGGTAATATGTTGTTATTAGCAGGTATCTTGATGATGATGGTGATCTTTCTTCTTTTCTCAGACATGATAAAAGCTCTTGCATATTCACCTTTTTTTGGTTTATTTCAATTGAACGCAACCAATTTGCACATTAGAGAAACCCAGTGTTTGTTGTTTTTGTAGTGCTGAGTGAATCCCAAATCTCAAGTGATGTTTCTCTTGCTCACAGCATTTTAGTTTTAAAGTATGATTACCATATTAAATCCTCCAAATAAACTAATTTAAGAAAATTATAGGCAGCATTGTTTCTCTGGAGGAATGAAAGTTAAGCAGAGCAATGCTTGATGTATCAAAGGGGCATTATGGAGTTTCCAGCGGCCACTAGCGGTGCGGTTATAAGATTTTAACCAGGTGTGTGCTCGTACGCGTGCTCGCTTGAACTCATGAGCGAGCATAATCCGAAACACAACCACTTTCATACAGAAATACCACAATAAACGCAGGAACACCAGCATGCAGGCTGTGGCTTTCCTCCAGACATGTTCAGGCTCTGTTACTTCAACGTTTCTGTCTCAGAGGCAGATCAACACCGGCGCCGTACCTTTCATTCAGCACAGCGAGCCACATATCGGCACAATACTCCTGAAAAAAGGCAGAGTGACAGCGGCTATAGACAGACAGGGAGAACAGACAGAGCTGGAAACTCAGGTAAACTCCCACTGCAACGTTTTATCAACTGTAGGTTGAACTAATCGATGCTCGTTACATGATCACGGTACATTTACTGCTCGCCTGCTGCTTTTCAGTAACGTTAAACATCTTTACAATCTGTGAATCTGTCACCGGAGGTTCAGCAATGTCAGCACACCTACAAGTATTGGATGATAATGAAACTGTTAGTGAGCTGGAATGGATATTATAATGAGATTGTGTCACACTTTATAACAGTTAGACCGCAGTAAGTGACTTTACTGTAACTACTGATAGTGGATGGCTCTTTGGGTTGTTGTGGCCGTTTTGTTGTAGTGTTTTATATTATGTGGGTCACGTTAGTTACAGCGACTGAAGTGGAGAAGCTGTGTACCGGAGTATTGGTAAAACCACAAACATAAACTGAACGTTACGAAGAAAACAACGGCAGGTCCGAGCTAACGTTGCCGCGTTATGTGGCTGCTCCTGGCTGCATCACTATAACGTTAGGCCGACGTTAGTAAACAAATCGATCCACATTTGCTTTTTACCGTTACATCCTTTCAGGCTAAATCAACAGTGGTACACAGGATAGTAACATGGGTCGCGTTAGTTGGTTGTAATGTGGAAAGCGATATAACTTTGCACCGGATAACATTAGCAACTGCTCGTCGTTACGTGTGTTTCTCCAGCTTTACTAATGCTCACTTTGTTCTTACTCGACTCGACCTTTATTGTTGTTTTGTATCCTTACGTGGAGCCTGTGTTTTGCTGTGAGCTGGTTGTTTTATGGTGTTAGTGGACTGCATGTCGTGAGCTGCCGTGTTGTAGTCTGAGAGAGGCTCGGGAGCGCGTACAGGGCTGAATCCAACCCGGAGACCTCACATTAAAAGCAGAATAGTGGCTGATGCGAGCAACGGAGAAAACAGACGTGTGCTTCATTCAAACAATCCAGGGAGTGAAAGGGAGAAGCTGGACATGTTCAGTCATGTGGGAAAAATTCATTTTCTGCTAGTTTTATATTTAATACCACATACGTGATACGCTTGTGCAGTATTTGTACAAGATCTGCTAATATACCGTAGTGGAGGCGCAGAGCGCTGTGATCCTCAAGGTGAGCGTCATGACAACCAAATGCATCAGTCGGCTACTTTTTCAGGAGCCTTGCTAGCTTGAATCCTCTTGTACTGTAGAACAAGGACATCCTCGGTGAATAAGCGCATATAATATAAATTTACTTATAAAGTAAGAGTCAGTATCGCACAAGACACTGTAAAACTTGAAAAACTCATCCTGCTTTTGTTTTATCCTTTCACTTTTATTTGACTAAAATTAATGCAACTTTCAAATGAAAAAACAATGAGGGAAATAAATTACATCAAGTATTAAATTATACTCTTTATTAGTATTCATGCGAACATCACTTAGTGAGATTTTTGAAAAACACATTTAAAGCCTCTGTGAAAGCATATTTTCTCAATCCCTACTATGAATAATGGTGTCCTACATGAACACAGTATTTTCTGCCAAAGTTTTAACAGCTTTGGTTATTTCCCATTCTTCTGTGCTCCTCTCACTGCTTTGAAGTGGGCAGGATTAGGTTGTTGCTTATTTAGGCATGAATATTTAATACAGTTGAGAAATACTTTAACGTGTTCGTCTGTCACCTATGAAAAACTTCCTAGAGACTAGTAAAAGAAAAATTTTGAGTAATTCATTCCTACTTAAATGTTTCCCTTGTAACATTTAAAAACAAAATAAAAATTCATAAAACAACATCATCAAACCCACAGCCAGTGTGGTCTGTAATATAACAATGTGATAACTGCCAATAGTGGTCTGTTAATCAGTCAACATGCTAACAGATTAGCTCACTAATGGTAATGCTAGCCCGTAGCTGTCCATCAAGAGGCTCTCTAACATAGTGTGCTGCACAAGTACGACTTGCTACCTTGTAATTAAAGCTAAAAAATGGTTCATCCTCTCCTCCCGCAGGTACATGATGTTGATCAACGGAAAAAATGAAGTGTTCATGATCGACAGAGACAACACCATCTTCCACATAGCGAACCTAGAGTTTCCATTCCGGAAGGATCCACGTGTTCACTTATCAAATACTCTATTGGATGGGGTAAGATATTTTTCTTCCTGTTACTTGTCTGTATGTGTTTAGGCGTATTGTTCCATGCTAACTTCTCTTGTAGCTTACTGTAAATCCCATTAGGTGACCAGTTTCTCTCTTGACTGGAATTGCATATCCCATCCATCTGTCCCATTCCAACCATGTAATGTTCCCATCCTGCCCCTGCTGCTCATACTTGCAGATAATTTACATCAGTTGCCAAACCTTATACACTTTTATTCATTTAGCTGATGATTTTATCCAAAGCAACTTACAGTTGCTATGTCGGAGTATGCATGCCTCTGGAACAATTAGGCATTAAGCGTCTTGCTCAGGGACACATTGGGGACGTGTGTCACAGTCGAGAACTGAAACCCGGTCTCTCACACCAAAGGCATATGTCTTATCCACTGTTCCATCACCACTCCAACCCTAGGTGAAAGTGAGGATGTTTTAGTCTGACAGCGTCTGTCAAAGCTGGCTGACAGGAAAATGATCACCCATGTCCTGGAGAAATGTCACTGTTGCCTCTCAGTTCCACCGTGGTGCTGTGTTGTAGCGCTCAGCGGCGTGCTCCCTGGGGTGGCGGCGTGGTTCAGTGACTTATCCTCACCCTGTAATACCAGGCTCAGACTTTTGTTGGCATATTTGTGCCATTCAGGTCACACAGGTGCCAGCTCTCCCCAGCAGCAGGTGCACATGCACTGGTCATTATCGCACTCCCTCACTGAAAACATAAGCAAGGAAACAGCTGCGTGTTCATGTAGTCAGCTAAGATTTGATTAGAAATGTCTAGCGGTGTTTGTGGTTGCTATTCCAGTACTGGAGATAACAGATAAGTTGCCCGTGATTGTTTTTGTTTTGTGCCCGGCCTTGTTTTGTTTTGCAATTTTATGTAAAACAGGTTTGCTAGGCTTCCTCTTTGCTTAACAGTTACTGATTGATGCAGTGAATTTAGTTTCCTCACCAAGACAGGACATTTAATTGCGGCATATTAGTGTTCCTTTTGAAGGAGTGGGGCGGATGTGTGTTTAGATTGCTCCAAGGTTTGTTTTGACGCGTGTTTATTCATCTGTTGATGCTTCTAGCTCTCAGTTCGGAAAGGCTGTTTACGGTGAGCCCTGTAGAAACCCAGCTGCGGTTTCTGATATGTTTCATCTTTAGCCCAGAGGCACTGGTCTTTGTCTTTACATGCTGTTTTGTAGTACAGTTTTAAATGAGCTTTACATCAACTTGAGTTCCAATTTTGGATGAAAGCGCAATGTAGATTGAATTCCTGGCGGTATCCTTTGGTCACATTAATGTATTCATCTGCTGCTGCTGTCTGTGCAATGGTTCAGTGCACCAGATGCATAATGATGGCAGCCTCCTGGAATGACATCATTTCTTCTCTGTGCTGTCCATGCCTCCCATTTACTCCCCTTTCTCCCCTTTACCAGACCAGTATTGGCAAGTGAATGTTGACGTTTTGTGCTTTGTTCTGTCAGATAAGAAATAAAATCCTGTCAACCTGCAAGGATACATGTTTTTCTAACAAGCACACTTTGTACAATCAAATCTACCAAAAAGGCCATTGTGTTCCTTGTGTTGTAAAATAACAAATAAATGACCTTGATTCCTTGTTTGTGTGGCAAGACAGTGTGTCAGACCTCACATACATTCACAAGGCGTTTTGGTGATGAAAAACTGACGTGTGTCTTGGAGGTAATTTTGTGAAGGGGCATGTTTGCTTGACTGACAGTTGTCTTGCACTGTCACAGTTAATTGTGGTGGTTGACCGTAATATCATTGCCATGTCCAACCTTAGCTCCACCCAGCCTTCCTCTTTTAAGACGTCTCTTCTCGAACCTATGATTGGCATTAGTCATTACGTTGACTTTTTTTTCTACAGGCTGTCTCCCTCTTCTCATTATCAAAGGACGAGCGAATGGGGGGTGGGGGGGGGAGCTTTTGGGTGTAGTTTATTCAAAATCTGCTCTAGATTTTCCAACTTATTATTCACATATGGAAAATAATAAGGTAATGTGGTAATAACAATGTTCCAAAATTGTGTGGAATTGCATATTTCTTCATTGGAAAACATAAACATTTTCCTGGGGGATGACCACCAAACCCCCAACACAAAAATACCATCTTAATTTTTTTAACATTATACTGCCCTGTGAAAGCATGTTTTAATCCCCTTTGACATTATTGTTATTATTTGTAAATGTACCTGCTTTACACCTGCCTCGACTTCTGCCTGCTCTCACTCACACACCTTTACCTCTGGTCTCTCACTCCATACACACTGGCTTTCCCCGCCTATCTCTCCCTGCCTTCTCCCCTAAGTTTCTCCATCAGCAGTGGGTTGAGTTTTATATAGTCAGATAAAGTTTTTATCTGGCTATTTTGAAAACACAACAATATATTAGGGGTGGGAATCTCTCCGCAACCTTCAATTCGATTACGATTCAGAGGGCTGCGATAAGATGATTTCTTTTTCTATACAGGATTTGTTTTTTCTCACTATGTGACTACTTGGTACTTTTTTTTTATGCAAAGTTTGTGTAATGATCCATCCAGATTTGGGGATCCAATAAAAAAAATATACAATTTCAGATAATTATTTCCATATCTGTGTACAAAAAGTTGGAAAGGCTAGATAAAAAACCACTAAAGCATCTTAAAGACTTCTACTGGAGCAATTATAACCATTATATCTGAGAAATGTCATTTACTTAGTCTTGAAACTCTCCACAATGATTTTACACTGCATGCTCAATTATTTACAGGTAAGGATTTTGACCATATCATAATTTTTATGCATATTTTCCAACTCCAAGCTGTATATATTTTAATACTTACAATAAAGTTGAATGCTTGTAATAAGCATTCAACTTTATACAGCTTGGAATCGGAAAATATGCATAAAAATGATGATATCGTCAAAATACTCACTTGCCTGATAATTGTGCACACTGTGTACATTCATGGCACAGCACCCAAGCTCAAAAATCATTAGCTGCGCATTGATATTAATGATCGTGTGAAATTCTTGTAGTGACGCTCATTCACTCGGCAGCGGCATTGCTCTGACACGGGTCTCTATTTTGTGCACGCCATAGACTGTCCGGGTGCAGTCACACTTCCGAGTTCCATCAACATTACGTCGTACTGTGCGATATGACAAAAAAATTAAAATCCCGATATAGGTCTTTTCATATCCCAATAAAGATACATATCCGACATAGAACACTTTTTGTAAATGTAACTCGGGATATTTCTCTGCATTGTAAAGATGGAGTAAGCGATTCTGGAGAAATCCAACACCATGACAAATACCATGATAAAGAGTGAACAACAACACAGCTATTAATGTAACTTGTGTTAGGTAGGTTGTGGATTAGCAAACTGACGCTACTTGCTGCTGCAAAGCTATCACGAGAGGACGAGACGGTCCCAGAGCAGCACAGCAGCTCCAGACAGCGACGCTCACAGCTCTCTTGCTACTACATCACAACAACAGCATGTCTTGGTGAACTATAAAGTGAGCTGTATGTCCGTGGGGAAGTTATTTATTATTTATTTGGCACTGCTGGATAGTGTTGTGTGGCTCGTCCATTGAACGTGTGAAAGAACGGACCGCGGTGAAGTTAGTTTCAAGTTGGATATTAGTTTTGTGTTGGACATTTGATAGTCAAATTCCAACATCAAACTAAAACTAAATAAAAGATGGAACATAATTGTAGACGATAGACTTTTTTTGTATCGTCAAACAATAAATATCAAATCACACAGCCCTACATTACATTATCAGTTAACGTTTAGAAAACTGATTTTTGACATTTGCGAATTGATTCAGAATAGTCCACGTCGCAATGCATTAAAGAATTAATTGAGAAAACTTAATTATTATATCAACCGGACGACGTACCAACATTCAGCGCAGATGGAACAGCAGTAGCTGAACTTTGAAAATGGTGCATTAATCAGTTGTGTCAGGAATGCAGGCTACTGTGTTTTAATGTTTGACATCTGGCCTGATCACTAAAGCGGAGTCCCTGGAACTCCACTGAATGTAATTATCAGCTTGATCTGGTCCCTATTAAAAATATCAACCTCTCCAACTTTGCATGACTGAAATGATACAAAATAATTTATATCTTTTATTGTTAAGTCATCATTCCTGTCACCTCCGCTATGATGCCACCATGTTTGTTCATTTGGTCAGAATGTAAGCATGATGGGTGTTTAAAGGATTTCAGTTCCCAAAATACTGTTTTTGTGTAATAGCTGATCCTTTAAGTGAGTTCTTACCTGCTGCTTTTTTTAACCGTCAGTTACAGGAGTAGAGCATAGATAGTCACCTAATTATTTTATGAGGGGAAAGGAAAGGAGTATGGTTCTCCAAATCTATTGCTCTTTGATCTCTCAAATCTATTCCAGGTAAAGCATCAGAGTTGCGACCCTACTTTCTCTTACATTACTTCAGCGGTGGAGACTCTTGCTCGTCTCTGCTGTCACTGCATCTCATGGTTGTGTAACAGTTCTTTGAAAACTAATCATATGTCTGTTGGGTGTCCTGCACCACCGCTGCACCTGACTCAACTTGAGGGTCTTGCATAATGCATGCGCAGTGCTATTTCTGCTCTGTGTCCTTCTTCTACAGACCCCACCATGCATACACACCACACACCCACCTCCCCAATTCCTTTGCTGTCCTTCACTTTGCTGCAGGCATCTCCCTCTCTGATCATAAATCCCCCTGAGCGCGCTCACCCCCTAGTGTCCCACTCTTAGTTTCCATCCTGCATTAATACGTTGAAAGAGGAACCATTTTCTACAGGCCATGATGTTAAAGAGGTCATATTATGCTTTTTGGCCACCCCTAAGGGTACAGAAAACACTGCTCTGAACTGCCTGAAAACAGCTTATTTGTAGTCCAGCCTTTTCCCTTTGATCCCTTTGGTCATAATGCTCGCCTAGCGGCTACTCCGACACGCCCTCAAATACATCAGTGGGAAAACACACTGAGCTGCAGCACACAGTCACAAGACATCCGCCTGCTGCCTGTTCAGGCAGTCATTGGACATAAAGTTGTTACTGTGATGTAGAGACAGAGCTCAGTTAAAGGTGGTATTATGGTTTTTGGCTTTTTCCCTCTCCTTTATATATAGTTCTATATATCTTTTTTGTGCATGTACTAGGTTTGCAAAGTGAAAAAGCCCAAAGTCCACCCCAAAGGGAGTTCCCATCTCCCACAGAAAACACTGCTCTGAACTGCCTGAAAACAGCTCATTTGTAGTCCAGCCTTTACTTCTCTTTCTTGTTACGTCACAATGAAAATACGTGTCAAAATGCTCGCTGAGCGACTAGTCCGACACGCCCTCAAAAACACCGGTGGAAAAACACTGAGCTGCAGCACACACCTCTCCTCTCCCTTCCAAACACTAGCTACCCTCCAAGCAGTCAATGGACATGAAGTTGTTACTGTGATGTAGAGACAGAGCTCAGTTAAAATGATGGATGAATTATTATATTATTATGGATGAAAGATACTTTTGTTATAGATTAATAACTCACCACTCTGAAATTCTTGCTCCAGTCCAAATTGCCAACCTGGTCGGCAACATGTAGCCTTCAGCTGAATCAAAGCTGTTTACCATCTTTTCGCTGACCGCCTTTCTCTGCTTCTGATTGGCAAATACCGGCCTTTCGCTGATCTGCCCTTCTCTGCTTCTGATTGGCTAGTAGTCCTTAACTAGGAACTGCACATGTGCAACTCCCAATAAAGATCATTTAGAGACAAGATGTATCACTTCATAGCTAAAATGAAGCGTTCAACGCAGGGTGAAAAGAGGAGTTGCAGCAATGTGCAGTATGACAAAAAATATGCTGTTTTTTTTAAATTAAACCATGTAAACCTGTTCTGGTACAACCCCTAAATAGGATTTTGAACCTGAAAATGAGCATAATACCACCTCTTTAAAACTTTATGGATGAAAGATACATTTGTTACAGATTAATAACTCACCACTCTGAAACTCCTCCTCCAGTCCATGTTGCTAAGCTGGTAAGGGGAACATGTACAGCTGAACTGAAGCCGTGTTTACAGGCTTCTCACTAACTGCCCTACTCTGCTTCTGATTGGCTAGCAGTCCTTAATTAAGAACTGCATACGTGCAACTCCCAACAAAGATCTTATAGAGGTAAAATGTATCACTCCATATCTAAAACGCTAAAACGAAGTGTTGAACACTTGAAGAGGAGCTTAAGTAACGTGCAGTATAACAAAAAATATGGTGTTTTTTGAAAATGAAACCATGTAAACCTGTTCTGGTTCTGCACCAAAATGAAAATTTTTGGCTGAAGCCGAAACTGAATATATTGAAAAAATTTGCTGAATACCAAATACTTTATTTTGCCAATTACATAAATTACAAAGTCAAAACGAGCTTTTACCTCAGTGTCTCCCACAGAATATGGAGAGATTATGGTGGTGGGTCCGAGGGCCGATAAAGTAAATTACATGTGACCGATTATGGGTTTTCGGGGGCTGATGCTGATATTAAAGTGAAAAAGAGCCGATTTATGAGCCGATATTTAGATTTAGAGAATGATTTGGATAGTAAACCCCTTTACTGTATAAACTACACTTGGAACAGGCCGATATTGAAAACTGGTATGTATGTGGGCTATAAAACCTTTTCTTAAATGGATTATGTTAATAAAATAGATTACTGTCAAAAAGTGAACATGTAAACAATTGCACATCAATAAATATTTGTTGCTGGAACATGAAACTTTTTCAGCCATCTGTAAACACGGAGAGAATAAGCATGTGTATTTCACTTTACACATAATCTGCCATAATTTCAATGTAGCATATTCACATCCAATTCATCCCTTTACCAGCACTCTTCTGACCAAAGCTAAGAGAAACCATTTCTCATCATCTGTCTAAATCATGCCGTCTATGTCAGTGAGCTGCTGTTGAATGCATCTAATACAACATTACTTTCTACAACGAGGACCTGCAACTTTGAGATTTCATTTAACTAACGTTATAACTACAACTAGAGCCGTTACGGCTCTGACTAAAGCGTTTCACATCTTCAACTTCACAAAAAGAGGAGCTACCGGAAGCCGTGTTAGATTCTTGTTCAGCTCATGTTTATTTACATGTCCGCTCTGGTTTAATCATTTCAGACATGCCGACTAACTGCAGACAGGCGGCTCGCAGATATATTTAGAATACGTTAGAAACTATAGTTTAATGGCTCATTAATGTTAGCACTCCTCCACTGATAAACATGGCATTAGCTTTGTGGCTAATTTAGCAACAGGCAACGTTAGCTGCTGTAACGTTACATGATTTTAGAGAATATTTAGAAGTGATGAACTAGAGACAAATGTGGACCGTTCACTAGAACATCCACACAGTTTCAGAATAAATCTACAGTTCCATCTGTCAGCAGCGTAGCTTCCAACACCCAGCTACCGTGACATTAACCTGCTGTGAGCCGGTGGGAAGCCGGGAGAGGGCAGAGGAAAAACAGGACGGTTAGCAAGTCATGAATGTTTTCAGGAGAGGAGACGTGATTGGGTCTGTTTTTATTATTTAAGGCATGTAATTAACGTGACAAAAGACCAACACACCGCTAACACAGCCCTCTCCGTGTTTGGTACATGCTGCAGTAAGCTCTGGTAAACTCCGGTCAGCTGATTGTTTTCTTCTGTGTTTTTTGTGGTGAGGCAGTGTTGTTAACAGGGGAGCTGCAGCGTGCCCTCTGGTGGGCAAACTATGCAACACCCATGACATGAGTGAAGGATCTGACTTTTTGTTTCTTTTTTAATAGTTGTATATCTGCCGTTCTAAACGGCCGATATAATTGCCGATTAAATTCAATTGGCTCATATCGGCTGGCCGTTAAATCGGTCGGGCTCTAATTTTAAGCTTCTATAGATTATTTAATCGATTCATCAATGCACGATGTGTGACACTGACACAATTAAGTATTGATGCGAAGAATTTGCGTCGATACATTTTAGTAATGGATGAATCTTTTCAGCCCTACTTCATAGCCTCTCTTCAGGTAGGACTCTCATACTGCAACACTTGACTTTGTAAAGAGAGAAAATGACCGGATAAAGTCGCTAACCTGCCTGTCAGCTCGCACTGGTCAGTTTCAGTGGATTTACCATAAAAGTGTGAATATGTGTGCACTCCAAATTTAGGTGCGGCTAGCTTAATCGCCTTCTCACAAACGAGTAACATACACTCAAAGCGGTTCAGACCGTTTGTTGCCTTTTCTAAGAAGTCAGCCACAGATGGAGTGGATGTGCAATTCAGCAGAACAGTGTATGGAAACGGCGATTTTTGCGTCTTTCTCGGACATTTTAAAATGCTTCCACACTGCTGACATGTCATCGTAATTGTTCGGGGAATTTTCCCCGGCCTTTTGATTTATTAGGCCAAACACGAAAGGGCTTTTTTTGTTGCTATTTTTGGCTGATTAATTTCGGTGACCGAACATTCGGTGCATCCCTAATTCTGGTACAACCCCTAAATAAGATTTTCAACCTAAAAATAAGCATAATATGACATCTTTAAGACTCGCCTTCTCCACTAAGTCATATATCTTTAGCTCAGTATTTATGTGTTTCTGTTTTCCACTGCCTCTCTTGACCCGACTCTTGTCTTTATCTCTGCAGGAGATGATCATCGACAAGGTGAATGGTCACCCTGTCCCCCGCTATTTGATATACGACATCATCAAATTCAACGTGAGTAGCCCAGCCATTTGAGAATGTGTCGTCTTTCCTTTGACCGATGACTCCTGAAAATCTGCCAGATGAAGATGTCAGACAGAATAAACAAGCCATCCCTTTGGAAGAATGCCATTAACACTGGTCAACAGCAGCTCCTTTCTTTGCTTTCTCTTTTTACTTACTGTTAACAAGAGGTCTGGTTTAGTGGAGGAAATTGTCATTTCTGTGGCCGTGGTCTAACAGCAGTTGGTGGCATGTAAATTCAGAGCAAGGTGTGTGGGCTGCACAACCCGGAAAAAAGCATTGACGTGGAATGGGATTTGCTTTTCTTTACACCTGAGAAATCAAATTCTCGCTTGAGTTCCTTCAAGGCTGTACCATAGCAGCCAGCAGAGCAGCGCTCATCCAGGCTCTGCAGTATTTGCACAAGGATGACTGTGCTTGTCAGTCTGTGTGCTGGAGAAAAGAGCATGGCTCTGCTTGACCCCACACCTCGTCACGCACTGAGCTTTACTAAAGCCTGACCTTAACCACAACACTAGGGCTGAACTGCGTCTGACCCTTACTGAATATTTATAAGTTTTTGTTCTTTTACTACTGAAATTGGTTTTGCTGCGCTTCATTGACAAAAATGTTGTTAAACATTAATCCAAACCTTGTTCCAAGCTTTGTGTGCGTGTGATGATCAATCCATTACTTGCATTATAGTTGGGAAGCAGCAATTGCCCTGGTGCACTTGTACATTTAAAATTAGCTTTTATATATGTGTAATAGCATGTTTCTCCTGTTACATTATTTTGACGTTTCTTAAGAACAGCCTGTAGACAACATTACAAGGCTGTTAATTGCTAACAACACTCATACAGGCTGTAAATTAATTCATCCCTTTAAATGATCTGTGTGCCGCTAATGGCAAGCAGGCAGGCACAGAGACAAATGAGCCTACAGTTTGCCTTTAGCGAGCCCCTGCTATCTTCATTATAAAATAGGGTAAGGAGGGAGCTACTTTCGGCCATTATGTTTGTCTGTCGCCTCCTTCTCTCAATCAATCAGCAAATCACCACAAGCAAGCACCTCTATAAAGCATCCAGTGGTGAGGGGAGCATCTTTGTAAGATGGTACAGAGGTTAGCAGCTCCACATGACTCCCTTCCCCAAGCTATCAGGAAAGCGCTGTTGTATTGATCTTAGCTGCCCATTAGTAGCCCTCCCCATTATCAGTGGTGGGCTGTACCTTGGCACCGAGGCTCTGTCCTGAGACTCAGGATGGAAATGCAGCGGGAGGGCAAACACACCACCTGCTAAGTCCATGGCCTAACGTGGCTGCTAACTTGTTTGGAAAGTCGGGTGAAGCCAGAGTGCTAGGATGCTTTTGATTAGAGTGAAATGAGAAGTCTGTGTCCTCTCGCGATGTTGGACAATATAGCTGTGAGTGGAGGGTCAGAGTTTACTTACCTGATGGATTTTGATGGAGATAAAACATTATATCGTTGTCTTCATGTTGGAGCAATTGATATTTGTAGTCATCCCACAGTGTGTTATTATTGTTATTACGTTAAAAGTACTGATGTGTACATTTACCTCTCCAACTTTGAAATTGATTGACCTGGACTATCACTCCATGTCTTGGGGTGATAGTCCGGGTCAATCAATCTGCTCTCACTGGAGATTATGAAAAGCCTTATTTTTATTTTTTTTTGTCCTCCTGTAATGTTGCTTCTGCTTGTCAGTCACTGTCAGCTCCCCAACTGTGGGGGAACTGACAAGCATAACAACAACAACAACAACAACATATCTGTCCTTTAATTTTCATGTTGCTTTAGAAAGCTGTTATCTTCAAATAAAACTGTGGAGGTTTGTATGTGACATCAACGTCGTCGTCCTGACACGATGATTGACCCTGTTGTCTTTCATCTCGCTAATAATAATCGCTTTAGGTGCAGAATTAGACAGGATAATTGGCTTCATCAGATGAGCAGAAAAGAGTGCTTTTAACTTTCAATGCGGCCCACAGAAACCTTCTCTGTCGAGCTATAGACTGCTCTGCTGACATCCCCTCCATTTACTTCTGCTTGAGAAGTTTGTCTGCAGGTACACTACTGTAGCTCTGCAGGGCTTTCCGCCTACAGAGAATAGCCCCAGGCTGCATCATTCCTTTCAAACCAGCAGCAGCATCATTCTGATGACGTGATGTAGCTCCTCTGGAGTCTCTCTCTAGTTCTAAGGTTTTATTGGTCTTTAGATAGTTACTAGTGGCCAACAATGACTTTAACCGGAGTTATTTTAATTTGCTCGTAAATCACAATGCATCCAAAGCATTCTTTGGACATTCATTAAAGAAATGGGGGTGTTATTATAGGGATAATTGTACTAAACTGCCAAAGGGGCAGTAATGTTTTGGTTAAAATTTTTTAACCAAAAGGCCTAAAAAATTCAACACACGACCTACTTAGTGTTGTGAACTGGATTTTATACAGTACTAATGCAGTTAGTTATATATTTTAGCACAGTTTACCCAAAGAATTTTATTTATATATATATATATATATATATATATATATATATATATATATATATATATATATATATATATATATATATACACACATACACATACATACAGTACAACTACATAGAATCGTCATAAATTGTGGCCTATGACCTGCCAGTCTACATTTATAGACGCAAATAAATTCTCTTCCAAAGCCAGAGAACTAGGAACTCGAGCTTATGATGTTCAGCACTGGAGGAAGATGGTAGAAATAGATGGAGACTCTCCTGTGGGTAAGGTCTGGTTCCAAACTTGACTACATTGAGCAAGAACGAGTATTCTGTCTTTGGAACAGCCCTAAATTTATTTATTAACAAGATCTTCTGGCTTTAGAGGAAGGCTGCCGTGTTTAGGCTGCCAACACCCCAAGGAACAGAGAGAGGAATTAATAGTTTGAATTGTCATGTCCTTTTATTGTGGCCAGCCTAAGGCACACCTGGGCAATACCCATGCTGTCTTATCAGCATCTTGATATGCCACACCTGTGAGATGGATGGATTATCTCAGCAAAGGAGAAGTGCTCACTAACACGGATTTTGACAGATTTAAACTATAACTATAACCAGAGAGAGATTCCAATGCTGATTTTGTCACCTGCGTATAATGTAAATTATTATTTTTGTTTTTGCTGTATTCTGAGTTCATCCTTCAACTGCTCCAGCCTTACTCTAAAGAAGGCTTTATTTCTGACTCTGGTGCTCTCTGGTGTTTAATATTTAATATGTATTTTTTATATATAGATTCTTTATGCACTCAGTTCAATTTACCCAGAAATAGGATTATGTAATGCACTGAGTTGTACCTTGTTTGATTTAGTACAATCTTTGACTGTCCATTTGTCATGAATGTATCTTTAGATTCATGTTACATAATAAAAGGTTTAATTTGGTAAGGTTTTGGGAATCCTAAAGGTTTTTAGGGTTGCGACTAACTGTCCTTTTCAATATTGATGAATCTGCAGGTTATTTGATTGATTAATTGTTTGGCTTTAAATGTCAGAAAATAGTGACAAATGCCCATCACTATAGCTCAAGTTGGAGTATTGAAATTGCCAAATACACTCAGTTTACTATCATAGAAAACTAAGAAAACAAACAAATATTTATCTGAGTAGCTAGAACCATTACTCTTTAGTCATTTTTCCCTTAAAAATTCAGGCTGCAACTAACTATTATTTCTAACAGTGGAAAAGGTGCATTGTCTCTTTTCCACTGAATGGTACGGCTCAGCTCGACTCACTTTTTGTCTCGATTCTGTTTTCCAGTGCAGAATGAAAATATGAGCTTTTGAGTACATGTGTATTACTTGGAGGCTGTACAGGCAGAGCTGTCCTAAGGTGTATCACTATCAGAGGCATTTATTTATAGATTTAGTCTCAGTTATTTCAAGCCTGATCCATTGCTGTTGTTTGACAATAATGGTGCATTGTGCTCTGTTGAAATGCTGGCTCTAGCTTAGTTCAAACCCACAGTGATGACATTAAGTCAAAGTGGAGCAGCAGTCACAAGTCAGAGTTTATGCTATTCACACAGTGAGCTGTCAAGATGCGTTACCCCCTAGAACCGCAATGATTCCACTGATATAATTGATTTATTCCCAGTAATGTTGGATTAGCAAGATTCTTATCTGCTGTGTTTTCCTGTTGAACAGGAGTGGACAGCACATGTCTTGAATCATCCACACTTACATCTTGTTCTGTCCTGATGACACAGCTGACAGATGGTGCAGAATGTGTGGGACACGATACCAGCTGTTGCTCCAGGAGACTGTATATTTGTGGTGTTTGCAGTCACCCTAAAAGAAAAACAAGTCCTCAAAGTGATGCCTAAATGAGTGTTTTCTAAACTTTAATTCGCCTTTAACCTTATTTGTAGTTGCCAAATTGTACTTTTCCAATTGTTGTTAAGGCTGCATTAAGCAAGTCAGACACACTCTAAAACAAAGTCACACAAACACAGCCATGCTGCTCGATTTATCAAGTCGTTGTGGCTAAATGTGTTGGCAGACCGTTGTTTACTTGCACATTCAGCAGACACAGGGCAACATGGGAATCCTAATGGAGTCATATCAGGCCACCTGATGAATGAAAGTCCAATATCTAATCTCCCTTTTACCTATTTTGGACCAGAAAATCCTTAGGGTGATGTAATAACTAATTTTACCAGGGCTGCAATTAACGATTATTTTCATTTTCGACAAATCTGACCGTTTTCTAGTTTTAACTAATTGTTTAGTCCAGAAAATGTCAGATAATAGTGAAAACTGGCCATTACCATTTCTTCAAGTTACAATCATAAGAATTAGAGAAACAGAGACACGCAGCAAATTTTGTGATTTGAGAATCTGGAACCAAATAATATTTGGCTTTTTTCCCCTTTAAGAGACCTAAATTGTTAGTTGCTTATCAAAATACTTTTATTTTCTGTGGAACAACGAATTTTAGTCAAACGGAGCAATTGCCTGAAAGGCAACAGCCAATCATGGCGTTACCCCTACAGGGTGCAGTCTATAACTAGGATAATAGTTGGGAGTAAGTTCCCAAAGAGTGTGTTTATATGTTTTGCTTGATTTGAAAACTTATGACCAGAATGAATCTTATTGTTTTACAATGCTGATTTTCATGCATTTTAAAATTGCATCTGTATTTTAAAGACATCCTCTTATGAGAAACACAGTTCTCATCCTTCACACCATTGTAGAAACAGTAATTTAATTTATTTTCTCACACATTCTGGTATCACTACACACTGTAGGCACAGCTGTATTTTATGTGGTTTTATATATGTTGTTTATATAAGGCTTGGCGTATTTGCCTACATAAGATGGCAAACTTAAAAGAATGCTCTGATCTGCTTTTGTTTTATGCTGGATATATATATGATTCACATCACCGTACAGCCTAGTAATTTCATCTGATCTGAACAAATTATCGGCCATCTACCTCTTCGTCCACTTCTTATAAAAATGGCCCAGTAATTCCATAGAAAGCTCTTGAGAAGAGAGGTGGCCTTTACCAAACCGTAACAGAGCAGAATACAAATGCCTCAATGCCTCTCAATATAAATGAGAGAATATTGATCCATAATCCTCTTGTGTAGGAAAAATAAGGGGGGAAATGTCGATTTGTAGATCAACAGCAAATGAATCTGCAACTATTTTCTTAACTGAATAACTGTTTTAGTTATTTTATAGTCGAAATCCAAAACATTTTCTGGTTCCATCTTCTCAGAGTTAAGTATTTGATGTTAACTGTGTAAAATGCCTTTGACTAAGTCTTTGTTCATATCATTGAACACTTGTACCAGGGCCATTAAAGTTGAGTTCTCGATGACACCAAACTCATAAGAACAGGAAATATTGTTGTCGAACTACTATGGATAGGTATCGCTACTGGATACCTTTAAGGTACAGCCCACTATCGAGTAGTACTGAAACGTCTCTAGTCAAACCAGTACTTCATTCAATACTTTTTGTAGCCAGATCGCGGCAAAAAATGACAGAGAATAGAACGCATTTTTTTCCCTTAAAAAGGCCTGCACATGTCTAGCCCATGCCTGACTTTAACAGCACCTTCAGCTGCGGTCTCAGGCATGTTCATCACTGTTGCAATTTTATCATCACAAGCTTGTCTTTCCATTGGTTTCATCTTCAGGTATCATTTAAAACTTCTCTGTACAGTTTTACTTGCTATTCACATCAGTTGTCACTGATCGATCACTGCGTTCCCGAGCTGACTGCACTCACGGAGCCTCTGGCGGGGAAGATAACCTTGCTTGTCCATAACAACAATAAAAATAATAATAGGCTACCAATAAAAAAAAAATAATATGGCTTCGACAGGTGGCATTTTACAAATGAAGTACTCTATTGGTATCGGTATCATTTTAAGGGCACTGGTTTTGGTACTGGTATCGTAAAATTTTAAACGATACTCAACCCTATGAACTACTCAACAGACAATTGAGTTTATCTTTGCAAGGCATGGAACAATGGAAATTTATCTGTATGAAAATGTTCATTGTTTTAAAAAGGGGCAAAGATATGCCTATTTAAACTGATAAGCTGTTAGTTACATAGTTATTTTGCTTATCATAGCCAGGTGACGTAGATAATGCCAGCTTGTTTTCTGAGTTTGAGCTCCTTTTTTCTCTTTCTGATAACTTGTGAGAAATATTAAATGTCAGATTGTCATAGATTTAGTTCGTGTCTATATGGCAGCCTTTCAAGTGAGTTTTTATTTTTGTGCTCATAAAAGTGAGTCATTATGTTTAATCACTTTGTCAATTGAGCAGCAGAGATATGTGGTAACTGTCAGTTGGCTGTGCTGTACCAGGGTGGTTTCATCACAACTTCTCTGCCTCCATTTAACACTTTGAAGTGTTCAAACAGTCATGTTTCTTTAATGTGTTGCTTGGTGTTTTAATTTTCCACCCAAGCTTCTGTATTAATAACCAGGGGCAGAGACTCAAGTATTGTATCTTTTTTTTTTTCTGCCACAGTCACAGTGGGCTTCCAGATGGGTTTGGTGGCACCGTTGCTCTGCCTTTGTGGCCCTGTCTGTTCGAGAGGAAGTGATGGCTCCGGTCGCTGTTTATCTGTTTAGAACAACTGTGTGTGGCGGGCCAATGATGGGAGGAAGCTGTTGTCATAGAAGAACTGATTCCACTGTACTGTGTACCTTCGGTGTTGACCAATCCCATGAGCTCAACTGATGTCAAGATCTTGAAGTCCAGGGCTTAGTGTATGCACCTGTGTAATGCTCACGTATGGCATTACTAAAAATACATGCTGTATGAAGAGATACTGTTACATATATTGATGTAATGAGGATGTTATTGTGTGTGCCAAAGTTTTATAGTGCCAGTTAATGATGATTTTCATTATTGACTTCTGGCTCTAAAAAGAATTTAAACAAAAAGCTGCATTACGGATACATTAGAGTTGGTGTGACGGTGCTGCAGAAGTCTGTTTGTCCACTTTTTGAAAATGTGACTCACAAAAGTGTTTGCCCTCTACCTCACAACAGGTTAGATAAACAGTGTTGCCATGGCAGTGAATTGGCAACTCATTAATCTTTTAATATCTGTATAATAATATTATAATTTAATATTCTTCCAAAAGAGATTTATTTTAGTATGTATATTAGACGCTCTTGATGTAATGGATAAATTGTACAGTTCAGTCTAAATAGAGACTGTTCGGTTCATTGATTGTATTGAAAACAATGCTTTTTATCTACATAACAGTCTAAATTAAATATTACTATGGTAGATTAAGGGATAACTGAATTTGTTCTTTTTTTGTATGTTTCAGGGACAGCCTGTTGGTCAGTGTGATTTCAATATTCGGCTGTTATGCATAGAAAAGGAGATAATTTCTCCCCGGATGGAAAAGATGAAGACTGGACAGATTGACAAAACCAAGGAGCCTTTCAGTGTCCGAAATAAGCCCTTCTTTGACATTCATGCATCACGCAAGGTAAGGTGAACAAAGGCATCCCATTCATTGTTAAACCTTAGATTCAGGAGGGGTGATTGAGGATCTTGTTGTGGAGGAATGGACCAATTCTTTACTTTTGCAAAGACACTGGAGAAGTTATTAGAGTTTGTCCATCCATTTTCTGTTTTATTGTAAGCTCAGGGAAAGCCCATGACCAGTGACATGGCTATTCACCAGTGTCACCCAGTCCTTATATACTGTATCTGGAGCAAGCTATGTCCGAATTCTCTGCAATAAATCAGCACATTCTTGGTAGACTTTGGGCTCTACCAAGATTCAGCAATGTCACTGATTCTGTCTTTCATGTAGCACCTTTTGACGGGAACAATTCCAGAAACCCAGGAAACTTTTTAGAAACTGAGGAACTAGCTATGTTTTGACCGGAGGCACCAGGGTATAAAGTTCCTGGCCCCCCACTGCTTTGTGAGTAATACCTTGTAGGGCTGCACCATTAATCTAATTGCAATTGCAATCGCGATGTTGTCATGTGAGATTACATAACCGCAAAAAGTGTGTGATTTAATAAAACAGAAAAGGTGTGTGTGACATTGTCTTCTGTGTGCGCTGCAGTTTGCTCATTATCTCCGCCCACATCGGGCTCTCGCATGTAGGCTACCCGTAAAAACAGATAAGCCTACGTGCAATGAGAAAAAGTGATTTATGAGCGGTGTGCGAGTAACTTTTAAGACAACAACCTACCGTAACCTTTTGCTCAGTAATACCAAGACTAAGTGTAAAATGCATTATGTTAATTCCGTCACGTTTTCTTGATTCAGATGATCATATTTTTAGCTTTTTCCTTGTAGTTGTAGTCATATAATAAATAAATTATCACGCCTCAGGCTATAGCACTGTGCTGTTCACAGGCTGAGGACAGCAGAGCTTTTATCCTCTGAATAGCTGTTAAGCCTTTTCAAAGGCATGCACTTAATATCAGGTCTGTGGGAGGTCAGCGCGCGATTTAATTTGATGTTTTGCTCGGGCCAAGATCAGTCAGAAATCTTGGCACTGCACTGAACATTCACAAATGATCAAAGTATATAGGGGGGGGGGGGGAGTTTTAGACCTTTCTTGTGTTGTGGTCACATCTTTCTCTGCCAACATTGATATCTTGGTGTTTTTGTCCTTTTTAAAATTCTTTGTATGATAGCCGGGTTACCTCTGTCTAACTCTGTGCTGTCAACTTCTCTAAGAAACTTTATGAACGATCACCCCCCACCACTACCACCACCCTTTGGTGGGGTATGTTGGAGTATGATGAAGATACTGTAGAAATTAAGTCACTGGAAGAATGTCTGGTTTCTGACTGCTCTATTGTGTTGTGCAGTGGCCATCTGCTCCCCATACAGTCATATCTCTGTTGTATGCAACATTAAAAGAGGGGAAATTGGAATCTGTCTCATTAATTCATAGCTGTACAACCCTCCACTTCATGGCATATCAACCAGAAATTCCTTTAAGCGATCTTTCAGTCACAGGCTGGCCTTGTGTGATGGCTTGTCTGTTGCTCGGTTGTTTTCATCTCAGACACTTACACATTCATGCCGCCATTTCCCACCAATTGGGAACATTCATTCTCTTTGCTTCCTCCACTTGTCCAATTATCTTACAAAGACCCCTTTTTGTATTACCAAAATTATACATTCGGACAACCACATAATATATTTTTGGAATTTCCCTCTTGTGTAAGTTCCCTTTTTTGAGACACATCGTCCATGCCTAGATGAAAGACAACCAACTTTCCTATCACAGTTTCGGGGCAAAATCACTGGTGGAGTTTATCTTCTGATGACAGCCGTGACAGACAGCTTTTCACATTACACACACAATTACATACACAAATAAGATCTTGTATCAACTTACCAATGTCCTCCAACAAGGAAATGGGTTTGTTTTTTTCAAAATGGTGCACCTGTGTAATACTTTTGATATGACTTGGGCCTTGCTGATGCTTTACATTAAATATGCACAGCATTATATGGCTAGCATTCACAGCACATAGGGATGAAATTCGTCTCTCCTGGTGTTGGACACTTGTAAATTAACCAGAGTATGTTCTGTGTATATTTTCAAGGAATTAGAAATCAGGGCAAGACTGGAATTTCTGGTCATTTTCTTGCTCACTGAAGGCAGAATTGGCTCCAAAGAGAACCATTTGAGGCAGAAATTCATATTTCTCCTGGGATTATAGAAATTTGGGATTTGGTTTGGGGGCTGTATGATGTAAATGTAGGATATTATATCCACAAAGTAAGTTTATATGTCTTGTTTCATCTTTCTCCAAAGCAGGAAACATTTTAAATTGGAGTAATTCATTTATCACTACTTGAAAAAACGTTTAGAGAGGTATTGCCTGTTTGAATAAGCCTAACATTTGCACAGCATACAGTAATTAATTGTGACTCATGAGGTATCCAGACCGAATAAACTCACTATTTGTTAACGTAAAAATTATAATAGGAAATTAGATAGTATTCATTTGTCTTTGCCCTTTGCAGAATATCTAATAGCCCTTGCTCATTTATCATATCTCTGAATATAAAATTAGGCCCAAGTTGAGTAGTTTCCCCTAATGAGACTGGTATCACCAGTTGACCCCAGGCCATCACCTGCCTCCTCCCAGAGTACGAGTAGGAGTCCAGATAGTGAAAAGAAATTAGTCTCTTGCCCGAGAGTAGATCTCATCTTGAATTACCTTCTTTTTTTCCTTTTTTACTGAGATTGAATTTGGATAGACACCTAATGAGTAGTTCTCTACATAGTCTGTAAGATTGCAGTCTTTTCATGGAACTCGAACCTAATCACAGTGGGTGAAATTAAGTTTTAGTGTATGATCTGAATACCAAATAGCCAAAGAAATGACTTCCTTGAGAATGTAAATAGATTTTTGATTTTATGGAATCAAGAAAGCTGATGTTTGGTAGGCTATTGTTTTTAGATGACGGCTGCCTATGGACAACAAACTGATAAATTTTGTGGTTTCCATTTGTGTCCAGTTCCTTGTTTTATGTAGCAGAAAGCACCAGAAGGTCTAAAAAGGGTTGTGAGTGACCCTAATGCTCCACAGGATACTTGCCTTTTTCATGTTTTCAACAAAAGTTTTTGTTATATGTATTGTATTTACCTTTTGTTAATTTGTAAGGTTGTAATATTTTATTTTCAGTGGCTAAGGAGGCTCTGTTCTCTTGAAATATCTGTTAGTGGTGTTGTTGTGGCAGGTTGTCCCTTCTAGAAATTAGTAAAGTGATCTAATAGGCCTGCCTGTAGGTAGTTTGCTCTCACTTCCAGACTGTCAGACATACTTTTCAGACTTGATTCCATGCCATGCTTGTGGTTAGTTTGAAGCTTATTAAGAGGCAATTTATACATAAGGTCTTTTGCTTATCATTAATACATTAGCAGTGTGTTGATTGTCACCTGTGGATGTCGGGTGGCCCAGAGGCCTACACGTGATAAGCAGTCCGGTGGTTACATTTTTGTCTTTTGAATTAATTTTGAAAGAAAAACTAGTGCTTATTTATTTTTCGAAATGAAACGGATATCTCTGCAAAGCCAGGTATGCTTCGCAATGTTTAAATTTGTAGATAAGGAGTAAATGAATGGATGCTCTTATAGGTATAGGGAAACGATTGTGTAGAAAATGTATTGAGGATCAGCAACGAACCACATAACTGCAACGACAAGGTTCTATATCTTTTCATGACTCCCCTTCCTGTCCGGTGGGCTCAGTCGTCAATAACAGTTCTCGACTCAATGTAAATATCCTCCTCTTGCTGTTATACACAGATGAGTCAGAGTCTTGTTTTTCCTGTCAGGGCAAGTTTGTTATGGACTGTTGTGTTTTTTTTTGTTTTTTTTTATAAAGTAACTCCTTAACAGCATGTCTCATTAGCTGACTGCTGTCAGTCTGTAGGCTCCTTGTTTCTCACTGACCTCACACCTCTGTCAGCTGTAATGAGTCTGCAACTGTTGGAGATGGTAAAGTAATACTCATCATCTTAGTCTCCTTTTTATGTGTGCTTTAACAAAAGAAAAGCTGTTGGTATTGTGCTGAATCTGAGCTCAATAACTGTTATTTTGTGAAATACTAAGATGTAATAGGTGCTTAGAATTAAAAATCTGTGTTTCAGTCACTTCACAATATTGTTTGCCAGCCTTCTGCTGGATGATGGCAGGACTGGTGAAGTAACATCTGCCTTATTTACCTGTAAACCTGCAGTATTTTTGTTATAATTAACAGCAGAAATGTAGGAATCCTTTGGCGGATAGAGATATACGGTTGATATCTTACTGCTCAACTGTGTCTTGCTTAGTTTATGAAATACACTGAGATAAAGCATTCATCAGCCTGCACCTCTGGCCGTCTTCCACGGTTAGGTTCAAGAACAAGCTGGACTTTATCACCTGCATCCTCTCTCTCACTCTGCTGCTGCACCCACTCACAGAGGGAGACATGTTGACTGTTGTATAAGGGCTTATGCTGCTTGGAAGAACACACGACATGGACTCGATGACTAATGTTTGTTTACCTCTGTTGCTTTGAAATTTTTTAGTTTTCTTCAAAGCCTCCAAGACATTATGCAACATCTGATGATGCACGGCACATCTATACAGTAAAGGTTGGATCCTCTGGCTAGAGAAAGAGCAGGTGAATATTTGGCAGTATGTAATGTAGCGCATTTATTTGTTCGCCTGCTCCCCTTTTGCCTTCCAGGCTCCAAGTCGAAAAGAACGAGTGTCCTCTGGCTCAGGTCAACAGGTGTTTTTCTACAGATGTTCTTATGACTTTTGTGTTTCACCGCCTACTCAGCCTTTAGTCCGGCATCTGCCTTTTCTGTTTGACCCATGATGTGGTTGTGATGTCATGACATCCTTGCCATCCAGCCCTCTCAACAGTAAATCCTTCTGGATAACCAGCACAGCTGCTGCCATGCAGGGGTTGCGTTAACAGATTATTCTCGATCATTGACTGAATTCTT